AGGTTTGAGATGTTGAGCAATGGCTGCAGAACTTTTGGGTTTGAAAGGCCTCATTCCTGGATCTGTGTGCCGAGCTCATTCCAGCTCTCTAGTGCAACAGCACCACAATGAGAGCTGTGTTGACAGTGGGGAGGTGAGTGGCTATCATGTTGTGTAAGCTTGCGATGCCAGATTGCTACTGTCGGTGTGAAATTATTTTGGAATTGGAAAATCCACAGTGGGGCTGTTATGCATGTGTGTAGGTTCATTAATCAGCTCCTGCTTTGCAGGACTTTGATTCTGGACAGTGTGCAGGACATAGCACTTGTGTTTGCAACAATGGGGTTCCCGAACTGCAATGGGGCAATAGACGGTTTGCACATCCTTTTTTGGCGCTAGCCCACTTTGCCATTGAGTACATCAGCAGAAAGGGCTTCTTTTCTGTGGTTATGAAAACATTGGTGAATCCCTGGGGACACTTCCCCAATATTGGTGTGGGCTGGTCAGGGAAGGTATGTGCCACCTGCATCTTAAGAATACAGGACTTTTCAGAAAGCTGCAACATTTTTTTTTTTCTGACTGAATATTGAAATGCAAATGGTGATTCTGGAGGGACCGAGTTTACCCCTGGTTCCACTGGCTTATGAAGCGGTACACTGGCCACCTTGACAGCACCAAAAAGAGGTTAAACGACTGGTTCCACATGTGCAGAATGACAGTTGAATGTGCTTTTGGTAGATCGAAGGGATGCTGGTGGTGGTTACTCACTAGACTGAATCTCAGTGAGAAATATATGGTTATAGCTGCCTGTGGTGTCCTGCATAATATCTGTGAGGCAAAGGGGAAAACTGCTGCCAGGGAGGAGGTGAAGCAGTGTCTGCTGACTTTGAACGGCCAGAGACACAGGCCATTACAAGAGCTCAACAGGGAGCTGTGTGGTTGAAGGAGGCTTTTGAAAGAACACTTGAACAGTCCTGTGGCTCACCATTCTGTAATGGACTGTTATCTGGGCCTGAAGCTTTGGGTGCTGCTAGGAATGGTGTAGTGCTTGCTGTCAGTTATAAATGTACTGTTTTTCTGAATCTATGCGTTCTGTGGTGCTGTACGTTTACAAGCACTGTGTGCTTTGAGTCCTGCTATGCATTCTGCAGTATTTGTTGTGAACTAATAAAGATTTTATTCTTCAAAAATAGAAATTTATTGAGAAACAAAAACAGTGCACAAAACCAATGCACCAAAAACAAGCAATGCAATACAAACTTTTAACAACTTTAAAATTGGAAACACAGCAAACATTTCTGTCCATTTTCAGGGCACAAATGTAGGTCATTGTGACTACACAAACACCGACTGTGGTTCTCATTGATCAGTGTATGTGAAGCTGTTTTTACTTGCTGTCCCCTGGTGTGAAGTGATAGGGTTAATGATGCGTCCTGTGTGGTATGTTGTGGCCGGGGGGCGGGGGGGGAGATACGGAGCTGCTAACAGAGTTTAAGAAATGCAAAGGTTGGGGAGTCTGGAATTTTTGGGCCAGTAGGTCAACCAGGATGTGCAGTGTTTGGGTTTGTTGCCTGAGAAGATTCATAATGGCCGGCCGCACCTTCCTCTCCTTTTCCTAGGGGGACTACTGGGCCTTTCTCCTGCCTGCTCTTTCCTTCTCCATGCCATCTGCCATGTTGGCGCTACAGGCCCTTTGCAGTCTGCTGCAGCATTGGCTTGCAGGATCTCACTGAACATGTCCTCTCTAGTCATCTTCATCAGGGTCTGGCACTCTGCAAATGTAGAAGGGGCACCCCTGAAGGGCACAAAAGCAGCTACTGCTAAAAACAGACGGATGCAGCATTGGAGTTATAGTCACAACACAAAGGGAAAGATAATTTCAAAGCTCCTGTCCCTTATTCCCATTAAAGACTCTTAATAAGACATGCTTATTGCACTTCAGCTTTGGAGTGCCTCTGTACAGCGCGGCTCCCCAGCCCCAGCCATAGTGAGGGTGGCCCGCCAGGGGCCAGGTGGAGGGAAGAAATGCTGATTGCATAAAACAATATAATTTCAGTCCCTATTCCAGGGTACGAATACAGGGCAATGGCACTGAATATCAGCACTATTTTCCACAGGCAGCAGTGGTTTTAGCTGATATCTCATTCCTGATGGTAACAAAGGCACAAAGAGCTCAGCTGCTGCTGCTGTCCAAAAGCTGCCTCTGCCCATATGCTGCTACCCTAATTACTGCTATGGTGCCTGGCCAACTCATTGCTCCACATCCCCTCTGTCCTCTCCCCCGCATAACCCAACAGGGGAATGGAAAGCAGATACCAATTCTACCTCTGTTTGTGGTACCACTATCTCTTCTTGTAGGAGTGAAACAATGAAAAGTCAATACCTGTGTCTGGCTAATTTCAGTACAAGGCAGGTGCCATCTTTAAATTTAAACTTTGTAAGGAAAAATGTATACACACACTTACTCAAGATCCCTTCCTCTTCATCCGCCATATTTCTATGTCGGGTCCATAGCTTTACTTGCACAGCATCGTCTCCCCACCGATCCAGAAGATCCAATATCTCCTGTCTACTCCAGGCAGAAATGTGTCTAGTGGATGGAACTAGCATTGTTGCTTGGGCAGTTGCCTTTTCTTGACTACCCACCTTGGTGAGCACACCTAGCAGCTCCCCCTTCTTGAGTGCATTTCAAAAACTTAAGGGGGGGGGGCTTAAATGGGGTGGTGGCTTCTGGTCTCTGTGTCCCTTAGGCAATGGAGTTTACAACTGTGACCACAATGGTCACTTGTTGCAAGAAATGGAGCATTATGGAACAGCTGCTGGAAGACTGTGGTCATGCTGGTCATGACTGCAGGTCATGCAGTGTCCATACTTACATTGCATCAACCTCTGTAGGTCAACCATATCTCTGCACCATTTGGGAAAGTGGTATTAGTGTGTTGCTGTAACAGGGTGCTTAAGTTGACTGGAGACGAATTTGAGTGTAGACACGTGCACAAATAGGTTGACCCAAGGTGACTTACGTTGTCCTAACTTTGTAGTCTACTCTAGACCATCTCTTCAAACGTTTTTGCTCAATGGAAAGAGGTAAATAGTGGGGTCCCCCAAGACCCTCTACTCAGACCTGTGCTGTTAACATATTCAAGTACGAAGCTGACTGCAGAGAGTCACAACGGGATCTCACAGAACTGGGTGACTGGGCAACAAAATTGCAGATGAAATTCAGGGTTAAGTCCAAAGTAATGAACACTGGAAAAAACCATCCCAATTATACATACAAAATGATGGGTTCTAAATTAGCTGTTACCACTTAAGAAAGCGATCTTAGAGTTGTCATGAATAGTTCTCTGAAAACATCTGCTCAGTGTGCAGTGGCAAGCAAAAAAGCTAACAATGTTAGGAATCATTAGACCTGGGATATATATAAAACAGAAAATATCCTAATGCCACTATTTAAATCTATGGTAAACACACAACTTGAATATTGCATACAGTTCTGGTTGTCACATTACAAAAAAGATATATTAGAGTTGGGAAAGGTACAGAGAGGCAACGAAAATGATTAGGCGGATGGAACAGCTTCCATCAAGAATAAATTAAAAAGACTTGGAACTGTTCAGCTAGAAAAGAGATGACTAAGAGAGGATAAGATGGGGATCTATAAAATCATGACTGGTGTGGAGAAAGTGAATAGGGAACTGTTATTTACTCCTTCACATAACACAAGAACCAGGGGTCACCCAATTAAATTAATAGGCAGCAGGTTTAAAACAAACCTAAGGAAGTACTTCCTCACACAACCACAGTCAGCCTGTGGAACGCATTGTCAGGGGATGTTAAGGTGAAAAACATAACAGGATTCAAAAAAGAATTAAATAAGTTCACGGTGAATAGGTCCATCCATGGTGGTTATGTCAGGGAGACAATCCCATGCTCCAGGTGTCCCTAAACTTCTAACTGCCAGAAGCTGGGACTGGACATCAGGGGATGGATCACTTGAAATGTCCATGTTCTGTTTATTCCCTCTGAAACATCTGGCAATGGCCACTGTCAGAGACAAGATACTAGGCTAGATGGGCCACCAATCTAACCAATATGTCCACTCTTGCGTTCTTATTACCTTAATAAACTTCCTTTAGCCTGCAGTTTACTTTAAACCTTACTGCTTGTCTTTGCTACTATCTTACCATTTCTTGCTGCATAGTCCATAGGAGTACTTGCATCTTCACTGCTCTTCAATTTCAGCTTTCTTTTCTATTCATATGTTCCCGTTCTTGTTCAAAGGACTAAATTCCATTCTAACTGCAAGAATGGAGTGCTTTTAAAGCTGCCTAGAAAGTGAGAATAGAATACATCATATGGCTGCACAGCTGTATTGGTGGTGAACATTGTGTTGCATAAAGTATGTAAGGATGAATTGAAATTTATGTAAGAATTTCCTGGCTCCAACTCTATTAAACTATGCTGCTATTTTAACATTTGTCTGCGGAAGCTGGTTATGTCTGAAAGAAGATGGGGCAAATTTGACATGTAAAAGTTCAATTTCAGAGCTAATTCACAGCAGAAGGTAAAGATTAAATAGTATTGGAATCATGCCAACCCTTTAGAACTAACACTGATTTGTGAATTAAAGTAAACTTAAAAAGAATAAGCCTTAATTATGTCCTTTGGTAGAAAGAAGGTACCATGTATAGAATGGTACTGCACATGGTTTTTGGTGGTGGTGGCTTAATTTCAGGGGTGTAGAGGAAGGATCTCTGCTCCTGGATGTTGCATATTGAAAATAGGCCTATTAAAATACACACCATAATAAAACAGTTTACCACTTGTGATGTAGAGTGACAGTATATATTATCTTGATTTAGACTAACTGATCCCTTTAGAAATTTTATGCAGCCAACAAATTAGGGATAAAATTCCCATATCTCTTTAAGATCATTTCTAAAAAGAGTATAAATGAAGGAATAGAAATGTCTACTGAATGCATTTTGGGAGAGTTAATTACAAACTGTGTGGTTCAGGGATTTAGTGCAAGAAGAGGAAGAACAGTTGATGGAAGAAAGGAAAAAGAGAAAAGAAGACAAGAAAAAGAAGGAAGCTGCTCAAAAAAAGGTATGTGGATCATTTAAGTTTAAAAAAAAAAATAGGATTTGGCTTTTGTTTTTTTTCTCAGACTAATTTTGCTTATTGTAATATAGCTGTTAAAGATAAGCCTATTTTTTTTAAAAAATCTCATTATAGCACTTCCAAAGCACAAGGCAATCATCAAGTAACTGTCTTACTGAACATCTTTTCTGATCTTGCAGGCATAGTTTTTTCAAAGCTAAAAATCTTGTTTAGATATCCATTTAGCTCACAGATCTTCAGTTGATAGGGACGTTTCTGGATGCAAGCCCATGCATACACAATGTGAAGACTGACATAGTATAAAATGTTTTTTAAGATAGTTGTTTTTAGCTGTTAGCCTTATTTTAATACATCTGATTAGCCTTCTGTGATGAGTATAACTCTTCATCACACATGCTTTATCAAAGATGGATAAAATTAAAACATTGGCAGCAGGGAGTGGGGTTTAAGACTAGTTATGGTAAAGTGCTTTGAAGATATAAGAGCATTGAGTGAATACTAAGAATTATTCCCGAGACATTTTTAAAGAAAAAATACAAAATTACTTTTTGGGTAATGCTAAAACAGTATCCGTCAGTCATTAGTATTTAACATTGTAGATGCACTGGTTGAGAGGAGCCCATAAATCTGGCTAAGAACATATCTCCATTTCAGACTTCCAATTCCTATAAGGAGACATCTAAAATAAGCCTAGTTCTCAATTTTTTCTTGATCCTCCTTAGCAATGTTAAATGTTCAGTTCATATGCAGAAAAATGGCTAGTCATTTCTGCAACCCAGACCTCTTGTCAAAATAAAGGGGTTTATCTCATTTACAAAAACTAAGTACACACCTAATTCTGTTATTCCTCCGCCCCTCCCCCCCCCGGTCATCTTTTCCTGGAACATTTTTTTTTTTAGAAAAGATGAGATATTTGCTTATAACCCAGAATGAGACCCTCTGTAATCTTTATAGCAGCGACAACAAACTGCGTAAGGACTTGCTTCAGTAGTGCACAACTCCATCACTAGTGCTCAAGTACAAATGCATAAATCATTTTCTGTTAGGGTTCAACATCTTCCAGCAATGCCCTTAATTGGAAAGGAGATTCTTTGCTCATGGGATTTTTGGCTTCACTTTTTTTCTGTGAGAGATGGTGCTTCATAGATGTCAATGTTAAACACAGCATATTAATATAAGAGCAGGTCTACATTACTGCTTAAGTCAATCTAACTTGGGTCGCTCAGGGATGTGAAAAGACACTCTCACTCTCACTCACACACCCGCAAGCTACAGTGAGCTAAGAGCTGTCCACACCAGCGCTATGTCGGCTGGAGACGCTCTCCCGCTGGCATAGCTTCCGCCTCTCGTGGAAGTGGAGTAACTATGCCGACAGAGCGCTCTCCCGTCAGCATAGCACGTCTTCACCAGCCGCGCTACAGCAGCACAACTACATCGGTACAGCTGCGCTGATGTAACTCTTCTAGTGTAGACCTGCCCATTACAATTGCTGGAATCCTTGCCCCAAAATGTGCTTGGTTGGGTTTTTTTGGTCTCCAGCAGAAAGCTTGACTCATTCAGTGACAAACTATGCACCAGAAATAATTTTTTAAGTGTTTTAAAGAAATACTGAGCATACACAGCTTTGTAACTGAACTTTACTGAAATTCTGTCTAAACTAATTCCTTTCTACATGTGGCCATGCTGATTGTCCTTAAGAAACCAAAAGATTTCCCCTGCTTTCACTGTAGAAGCAACAGAATGCTAAGTGTTTAGGCTTGATGCTTCAGAAATGTAAGTAGTTGCTCTGTCGGGAGAGCAGTAGAATGTAACCAGCTTGCTTGCGGCCCTGGAGAAGCTCAGGCTCTCTAGACTAGGAAAAAACAGTTTTTAAAAACAAGTTAAGCAAACACATTTCAATTAAGTGGTGTCTAAAAACATGTCCACCCACCCTGTACAGACAAGGTTTGACCCCTTTAAAAATATGTTGGCTGGTTATGGTCTACCTTAGGCTCCCTGACTAGCATTTAAAAAAAAGGTAAAACCTTGTCTGTCCTAGGTGCCAACATGTTTTAAACACTACTTAATTAAAATGTGTTAGCTAACTTAAAAAAAGGTTTGGCTTTTTAACTCTTCTAAATAGGGCTGATTTAGAGGTCAGTTAGGGTGACCAAACAGCAAATGTGAAAAATCGGGATGAGGGTGAGGGGTAATAGGAGCCTAAATAAGAAAAAGATCGGGACTGTCCCTATAAAATCGGGACATCTGGTTACCCTAAGGTCAGTTGGTAGCCTTTGCACCTGATCATTGTGGACAGTTGAGTCCAGCACATTACCTATAGAGATGCAAAAATTTGCCTCCTTTATTTTCCTGTTCCTGAGCCACTACCGGAATTGTCACTTAAAGATCAACTTGAAGCTCATTCAGCAGAGCTGTGGCAGTGATAAACTCAAGCCTCAGGCCTATTTGATCTCCTAAGATTTGTAGATCCAGCTGGGAATGGTAGTGTTTTTACAGAACAGTACTGTCCAAATACACTATTGTCCAGTCAGTCTGTTTTTGCCTGGGTATAATAAAGGGTAACATCTGTATGAAGTCCTCAGGTCTTCAAGTGAGGTGTTTTTGGGTTGGAGGGTTAGGCTTGGTTGAGATAACATTATGGAGTGGAAGACATGTAGAAAGATTTTAATATTGAGTAACAGCAAGTTTTCTGACATGTATAATGGGCTGTTTGTTCAGCGTGGAGGAGTTCTTGTTATAGTCTCCCTGTGAATGGGACAATTTTATGATGTCTCCCTTCAGGTAGAAGTTTTGGTGGGAAGGACAGGGTTTGGGGATGTATTCAAGGAAGGCTTTTTCCCTGATTTCAGTGACTGAGCACTGGTGGCTGTGATGACTGCCCTAACTTAGGTGAGGTGGGAGAGAGCACTTCCCCACTTAGTACATCTCTACCCCGATATAACACGACCCGGTATAACATGAATTCTGATATAACGCGGTAAAGCAGTGCTCCGGGGGGGCAGGGCTGCGCACTCAGCGGATCAAAGCAAATTCGATATAACGCGGTTTCACCTATAACGCAGTAAGATTTTTTTGGCTCCCGAGGACAGCGTTATATCGAGGTAGAGGTGTAGTAGTAAAAATGTATCATGGTAGTGCCTAAAATCTCCAGTCAGGCTTCAGATCCCACTGTGTTGAGAGCTGTACAAACATAGGAAAAAGACAATCCGTATACCCGGAGGAGCTTGCAATCTAAGGACACGTACAGACAAAGGGTAGGGCATGAGGTGGTAATACACAAGCAAATGAATGTGGTGGAGGGGAGAAAAGAGACAGCTTTGATACATGAATTGTATTGGGGGGGGGCAGTTGTTTTTGTTTTTGTTAATGGATTCAGAGGAAAGGAGTAGGATAAGGAAAGAAGAGGAAGAGTTACAGTGAGGATGTTACTTGGCTTCAGAAGGGGAGAAGAGTCTGTTTCACACTGCCATGGAGCACCTCTTATGGGAGCTCTACTATTTTATTACACTTACCTGTTTGTATCCATACAAGCATGCTGAGCTCTAGGCACAGAACAATTGCACATACAAAACTCAGCAGTTCAAAATTACTATAAAAACTTCCCTAGCCAGCAAAATAAATTTCTCTTCCAGATTTGATAGCCTTGATAAGTGTAAGCTAGGTCAAAAGCTATGACATACACTGTAAAGGTCTCTGTTATTCTAACTGGCTTTCTGGAGTGAGGAAAAAGGGCTGCAACTCCTTTTAGTATTTTAGGAGCTTAGAGTGTAGAGATGAGGAAGAGGATTCTAAACTGAATCCAGTAAAAGTTTTGTTGCATTCAGCATAAGCAGCCATTGAACTATTTACACTTTTTTTCAGTTCCAATAACTGATACAATAGAACATACCAGTAATGGCTTTTCTTCTCTTTAAAAAAGAATTTGCACATATTGGCCACCCTTGAGTGGTATTCAAAAATTCCCAAGCAAATGTAGTTTTGCAGACTACATACCAAATACTTTGCAGTACAAGGAAACAAGAGAATGGATTTTTTACTGTGCCTAGAAATTGGACGGTATAAAAATCTGTGTACACTTCCTTGCTTTTATCAGTTCTTGGCAAAAAAAAATAATATGAAGGACAGAATTTGCTAATACTGTGAACTGCTGATTTCTTTAACAGATGGGTGGACATGATAGTAAAGGGCATTAATAACTTTTTAGTATAATCAGCCCTCACTGTTTCTTACTGTGCTAATATTTAAATACAATAATTATCAAATCTGTCAATCTTGACCACTTCTCAGGATTTCATTGCAGAGCACTGTGGTAAGGTCTCATATTACTAAGTCATGATTAATTTTAATGAATATTGTATGCTGCAGAACATTTATTATAACACTAACATTTTATGAACACACATGAAAGGGATACTGTGAAGTTAAATCTCACTTCTGCTTTGAAAATATTTTGCTCTCTATGTTACAGTAATTGTCTGTTACTTGTATGTCAGAGCTCGGGGTGGAAGGGGGGAACCATTATTTACTTCGTGCTTTTTAGAGCACCATATGTACCGTCTTCTCTTGTGTAACTAGACCTACACAAATAGGGGGCACTTCAATACAGCAGCAAGAGAGAGGAACATTTTGTTATCTCGTGATATAGTTTATCAGTGCAGACCTTTTATCTTGGCCCTTTCGCACAGGTAACTCTAAAGGTAGCTTGTCAAACTTCTGCAGGCTCTTGAAAAGTGAAGATTTTAGATTTGTTCTGCACTCACTCACTCACTCACTCACTTTCTGAGTTTTTCTGTTTATAATGATTGGGGATTGTTTGAGCTGTTCAGTTTTCAGAAGCTAAATTAAAAATTGTTCTACTTCCTATGACTTTTGCCAGGCAAATAAATACTGATAATTTTAACCCATTTTTAAAGAAACTCAGTCTAAACTGGGTTGGATTAGAAATGAATGTGTGATCCATTTGGCCTTCTGTTAGTATAATGTTTTTAAACAGCTTTGCAGCCATAAAGTGAGGGCTGGTGGAAGAGGGGAAATGATCTTAAACTGTCCACTTTAGATGTACCAAAACATGTTAAAAGAAAGGCAGGCAGGGATCTATTGTGAGACTATACAGATGCAGGCAAAATATCAGAAAAGAACAATCTGTACAAATTATTCACACTGTTTCTTTTTTGTTGTAGGCCATTGAACAAAAAATCAAAGGTAAGTTACTTTAAAGCTATTTATATTTTGTGGTGTTTGAGTAGATATTTTAATTTGTGTTTGAATTAAAAGGGAGGGTCTGAAACATTTTGACTCAGCCTGAAAAGATAGGGTCTGGGAAAACATACAGTGCCAATGGTATATCTAGCCATTCAAAAAAAAAGATAATGGAATATAATTGGTATATTCCTTCACTCTTATTCACCTTTTTTTAATTATTTATACAGCACTATGCACACAAGCAGTGTTCTGCTTTATCTTCCTCTCCTTCATTTTTCTCTTCCTCTTCTCCTTTAATTAAAAAAAATATACGCAAAAAAAAATTGCATCCTCCTACCAATCCAGCCGTATTGTAGGTCATGGGATGTAGTTAATCTATTTCATGCAGTTCTTCTGAATGTGCTGTTAGTGCAATTGGACATCAGAGTGATAGACACAGTAATTGCCCATCTATCTCTGAAATGAAATGACACATCCAGCAGTTTCATCTTGGTGTAAAGGCCTGGGATTCCCATGTCTACGAGCTCTAATTTAGTTAAAAAACAAATTGGGAGTATTGTGATTAATTTGAATATTTGTATTGTATATTTTGATTCCTTTCAAGTACTTGCTATATCTTTAAGATAAAGGAAATATGTATCTACTTTGTGTAGGCGTAACTACCTGAATTAGAATGAAAAGGGAAGTGATCGTTGAGAATTTTATAATAGTTGTATATTTATGCAGGGGGCTAACATTTGCTAAATTCTTTATCTTTAGAAACACTGTGTTTCGTTAAATATTAAGTCTTGAGACAAATTTCTAGTAATTTTTTAACAATGAAATGTGTTAGCTAGTCATAGTGGCTCATGATCAGGTGGTGAATTCTCCATATAAAGGTGCATTCTCATCTTGCTGCCTAGTGTATGCAGCAGTAATTACCTGATACTTTAAGATGAGTTTATATCTAGTTTCCTCAACTTGCAGTGGATTAATTGAGTTGACAACTTGCACAGAAAAGCTAAATTCTGTAGCATAATAGGCTCCTAATACGTTAAGGGGTTGTGTGGGAAGGAAGTGTGTTTTTAATGATCTATTAGAAATATATTAAAACTGGTGACAGAAATCAAAGGAATAAAAGTATCTTTAGGTTCACAGAATAGTTTCGCTGCTTTGAGGCAAAAAGAGCTTCTACATTGTGCGTGATGGGGGTTTTAATGCACTGGTCTTTCTATTAATTGGAGTTATGAACCTACATTAGGAGACTGACTTCCTTAAATCCTGGATCTGCAGCCATCTTGTGCATCCAATGCCATTGCCTACAGAATCTCTCTCTTAAGGCTTGATCCTGAACTCGTTAGGCAGTGGGAGTTTTGCCATTGACTTCAGTGGGTTCAGGACTGAACACTTAATGAAGATGGCAGACATAGAATCATGGAATCATAGGACTGGAGGGGACCTTGAAAGGTCGTCTAGTCCAATCCCCTGCACTCATGGCAGGACTAAGTATTATCTAGACCAGCGGTTCCCAAACTTGTTCCGACGCTTATACAGTGAAAGCCCCTGGCTGGCCGGGCCAGTTTGTTTACCTGCCGCGTCCGCAGGTTCGGCCGATCGCGGCTCCCAGTGGCTGCGGTTCGCTGCTCCGGGCTAATGGGAGCCGCTGGAAGCGGCGCGGGCCGAGGGACATACTGGCCACCGCCGAGGGATGTACTGGCCACTGCGGACGCGGCAGGTAAATAAACTGGCCCGGCCCGCCAGGGGCTTTCCCTGCACAAGCAGCGGAACCACTGATCTAGACCATTCCTGACTGGTGTTTGGAGATTTTTAAGAGCAGGTTAGACAATGATGGAGATTCCACAACCTCCCTAGGCAACTTATTCCAGTGCTTAACCACCCTGACAGTTAGGAAGTTTTTCCTAATGTCCAACCTAAACCGTCCTTTCTGCAATTTAAGCCCATTTCTTCTTGTCCTATCCTCGGCGGTTAAGAACAACATTTTTTTCTCCCTCCTCCTTGTAACAACCTTTTATGTACTTGAAAATGGTTATCATGTCCCCTCTCAGTCTTCTCTTCTCCAGACTAAACAAACCCAATTTTTTCAATCTTCCCTCATAGGTCATGTTTTCTAGACCTTTAATCATTTTTGTTGCTCTTCTCTGGACTTTCTCCAGTTTGTCCACATCTTTCCTGAAATGTGGTGCCCAGAACTGGACACTCAAGTCCAGTTGAGGCCTAATCAGCGTGGAATAGAGTGGAAGAATTACTTCTCATGACTTGCTTACAACACTCCTGCTAATACATCCCAGAATAATTCTTTTGTTTGTTTTTTTGCAACAGTGTTACACTGTCCACTCATACTTAGCTTGTGATCCACAATGACCCCCCAGATCCCTTTCTGCAGTACTCCTTCCTAGGCAGTCATTTCCTATTTTGTATGTGTGCAACTAATTTGTTCCTTCCTAAGTGGAGTACTTTTGCATTTGTCTTTATTGAATTTCATTCTGTTTTCTTCAGACCATTTCTCCAGTTTGTCCATATCATTTTGAATTTTAATGCTATCCTCCAAAGCACTTGCAACCCCTCCCAGCTTGGTATCATCTGCACACTTTATAAGTGTACTTTCCATGCCATTATCTAAATCATTAATGAAGATATTGATGAGAACCAGACCCAGAACAGATCTCTGCGGGATCCCACTTGATATGCCCTTCCAGCTTGACTGTGAACCATTGATAACTCTCTGGGAACGGTTTTCCAACCAGTTATGTACCCACCTTATAGTAGCTCCATCTAGGTTGTATTTCCCTGGTTTGTTTATGAGAAGGTCATGCAAGATAGTATCAAAAGCCTTACTAAAGTCAAGATGTTACTACTACCACTTCCCCCCTCTTCTGAAGGTTGTACCCTGTCAAAGAATCTCACATCCCTGGAGCCCTCTATAGTAGATAAATATTTTCACTTAATTTATTTAGGCTCCCTTTTTCAGCCAGTGCATGGAATTACAATTAATTGTCTCATCTACCAAATAAGTGTTTCTCTTCTCCTATAGCCACTCCTTACATAGCCAGATGCCACGATAAAAAAGATGATACACTAACAGCCATGCATAGACCTGCCAACTATAGAATTGTGAATAGTGTCACTTTTAAAATTCTACAGTAATAAATTAAACTAGGAAAGACTGAGGGACAAAATAGAAAAATGGTAAATGTTTTGCTTTATAAAATGGTACTGTCCATTCTAAAGTCACAATTGACTTGTGTCTCACATCTTGAGAAGTGATAGTGATGCCCACAGCTGAGGGAATAAAGATGTAGACATTTTTGTCCTTGTTAGATTTTCAGCTTTTGTTAGCTGAAATGTAATGTGCTTTATTAATGTGAATACCCAACTCTAACTTTAATATGTTACTTTATTTCCTTAACTATATTTTACTATAAAAGTTAGGGGGAATTTTAAGATCTGTCAAACATGCTGGCAGTCGCTTTTAATAAGCATAGATGTTATGGGATTCAATAGTGAAGCTGTTTCAAACCATAATTTCACATGTCAAAATTTGTCATCTGTGTTATGCATACCCAATTCACTGTTTCATCATAGTTTTGTGTGCTTGCATTCAAGATGAAAATTAATAAATATTTTACTAGTTTCCAAGTTTCCATCATGTTAATTTCTTAAAATATTATGTGGATGAGTTGAAGATAGAATACAAGAGTATAGGATTGCTAAGTAATTCATAATAAAGTTCTTTATTGCAGAAAATTACATTAAAATTGTAATAACCCCCCCCCCCCCCCCCCCCCCAACTCTCAGTTGAGTCTAAAATGCATTTATGTCTAGGATCCCTTCTTGCACTGTTTTCATCTTAATAGTTCCAGAACCCCAGTGTCATAAACACCTTTTCTTGGAATGGGATAAAGTAGTTTGACATTACTAGCAAATTTTGATTATACCCCTGTTCAAATGAAAATATTGAAACAGTTAAGATAACAGTAGTGTAGATATTTCAGCCATAGCTGTTTGATACATTAGCATTGACATAAGGTTGTATTTTGTATATAGTTGGTTTTTCAGTTAAACATTTTTACCAGCTTTTTAGGATTAAATGTATTCAGCAATTCAATAATTCCTACGTTCCTCAGAGAAGTGCACTATGTACAGAACCTAGCACAGAGCGTCCCTGATTTTGATTGGGACCCTGTAGGTACTATAATATAAATTAAATGTAAAGTTTGGAAAGTGCTTTGAGATCTTTACCAATTAAATGTGCTATTGAACTGTCAAACGTGGTGGTGTTCTACTCTAACTTACACGGTAGCCTGGTATAATAGCCTTTATTGCATTTAACTTGTAATACTATTCAAAGTAAACAAACCTCCCTATTCATCATGAATATCCCATTCAAAAGAAATCTCTCAAACCCCACTTCAGCTATGCAAAGAAAATGGCATCGTACACTACATGCTAAACCAAACGTTATACAATATGAGTATTTAGCTTGCATTTTGCCACAAAATACCAGCTTCCTAGACTCTTCAGCAAACAAGATGCTGTCACTGTAAATATAAATGTATGTGTGTGCAGGACAGTGCTTTGTAATGTGAAACATTTCCTTTACATATTGTATTTCAAGATACGTAGGTAATATTTTAGTGAAATAGTTTTACAAACTGTGCAGTAGGGTTAAGGCTGTCACTCGTGCTGTTGAGTCTTCTAGTGCTTTGCAAAATAACAAAAGGTAGATCATCAATTTAGATTTTTTTCAACTTTTTCTCTAAATTTCCCTGTTTTGTGGAAGGGCTAGGCATAAAACTACTGCTTTTGTTGCAGAATAGGATAAACTCTGGATCACCACTGAAATAGAAAGTGCCTTTAACAATAACTGGATAGGGAATTGAATTCCTTTACTCATATTTCCTACCTTTGAAACTTCTCGTTCATCTGTTCTCTGTGAAACAAAACTGTCCATGCTCACAGAAGTTTTGTTTTCCACTTGTATAACTGCTTTACCTTAATGG